AGTTGGTTTAGTGCTGACTGTGTCTTTGAAAACCATCAGAACTTTCCTTCGCACTCTTGGTAAAGTACTGTACCTGACTTAAATCTGATCTTCATCTGTGTGTTAAAGAACTTGTTGAAAGCACAGTGAGATACCTTGTGTCTGCAGAGAGTGGTTTGAAGTTTACTGCAGTTGTGAACCTGGCTCATCGGTCTTTCTGTTATGCATTCTTCACCCAATTCCAGGAGGCGAGCTATCCCCTGAAGCAAGGACCGACAAGCATGTTGCAGCTTGGCTTTTTCCCCTGGACTCTCTCTCAGATGTCTGCCCACCACACACTGCAGAGATGTACAGGAGCAGCACAGAGCTTAAGGAGAATACGATTAACTTTAAAAACACAGATCCTGTATAAGTCGCAACTACAACGGTCTGATAAGAGTGTAGTCATCCCATTAGTCCTACTTTCAAAGGAAAACTGAAATGTTATCCATTAATTATGGCATCCATCTCAACTATCTGAATCCCAAGACATCTTTTCAAAAAAATCAACAAAATCATAAACGTCGTCAAATGCTCAATTTTGCTTAAATGTTCAACAATCCTCAAATTAATCATGTGTAAATGTTTTGTTCTATCAGGAAGATTCAGCAAATCTCATTTCTAAATTGCGATATTTCATCAAATTCAGTTTATTCTACACATTGTATTTTTTTTTTAAATTCCAAAAAATAAACAATGTGTAGAAAAAGATTCTGTAAAAATAAAAAATAAATAAAATGGAAATCCAGCGCTCCTTGGTACAACTGAGAAGCCATGACTGACTCAGTCACATGACCAAAATTCTACCATTTCTCAGGTGAAGTGCAGGTTGTGTTTAAACAGACCAGACAGGAGAAGACACGAGAGACTGAGAGAGAAATAAAACATATTTGCAAGATGTTGGAAGACATGTTGGGCATGGTAATATATCTGTTTAGAGTTGATGCGCAGAGTGGTGTGAGAAAATAAAAGTTTATAGAAGTTGTAAAAATGTAAGTGGTCAAATATTTCTGGCATGTAGACTCATCATTTTTTCCAGCATTGGTAACACATGTGGGCACCTCTTTGTACATGCTGATTCAGTTTAGTTTTTTTTTCCTTTTTTGCACAAGTATTCAAAGAAATTCAACTTTTGTTTCTTCTTTTTTTTACTGTTTTATGGCATTCTAATTTTTATACAGTGAACAAAACACTTTCTTTCCTTTTAGCCATGAGTTGTGCATGGAGAAAAAAACGTGACGAGAGCAAAAAAATGCCCAGAAACTGCTCAGTGTTCAGAGGGTTAAATATTCATTTTTGCTTCACTTTGCATGTGTCACCAAAATCTAATTTGACAGTGTGGAAAAAAATGGCCTACAATGTCTTTTAAATGAAGCCTTTCCTTGTGATGTACTATTGTTAGAATGTAAACATGTTTAACACACATAAAGCCGTGCGGCAGTGGTTACCTCTAACACCGGAGCATCCTTCAGACTGGGGAAGATCTCACTCTGTCCCAGATCAAAGTCCTCCAGAAGGTGGCTGGAGAAGAGCTCCTATGTGAGGAAAACATACTGTGTTGGTTCTAAGCAGTGGTCACAGAAGTATCCTTGTTATTTTTTAATTACTTTTACCTGACCTTTACTAAACTAATGTAGCACATAAGCAGCAAGTTTAATATTGGACCTGGTTTGAATAACTTTGTATGCTGTTATTCGATCACCATATTTTAATAAGTGACTATGTGTAAAATCTACATCTGTAAAGTACCTACAAGTATATTGCAAATGTGTAATGGATAATATTTAATACAATATTTCCAGTGCACTAAATTCAAAGTATAAAGTATAAAGTGTAAACTGTATTTCTGTGTGTTACTTAGGGAAACCTTTTGCTTCAGACGATGTAGGAGCCAGGTGTACAGGATACAAATGATTACATTGGCATTTAGCATCTCTATAGTACATCCAGAAGCTATATTATCATATTTTTTAGAAAATATTTACAGCCACAGAATTAAGATAATATCCATACTTAAAGGTGTATATCAGCCCTCAAAACTGTTTTTTTTTTTTTTTGGTTCCCTAGTAATCTACATTTTAGTGATACATTTAGTGGCTTCAGCATATCAGCAGAAATGTGCAACTTCAGTGAATCACAGAGCCACTTGTTTCTTAGTGACATAATAGAATATATATATGTATACTATGTTTGTTGACATAATTTATTATTTATTTCAAACCTTCTGTTGGCTCTTGGTGCCTGGATGTTCAGTGAGTGGATGGTGGGGGGAGTTAAAGACCAGCTGGACAGTATGAAGACAATCCTGAAGGCAGCTCAGACAGCTGTGAGCATCTGGCTCGTCCTTTGAAAGTGCAGGCCCGGTCTGTGACGCTACTTTACTCAACAGCTCAGCCAGAGTCTCCAGCTCAGCTGATACACACTGCACAGGAATGTAGACAAACAGAAAAGGCAAAAACAGAAGAGTGAGAAAGTGGAAATCCACAGCTAAAGAAAGAAAAGCTAATAGATAATAGTAATAGAGATATTTAACTCTATTCTTGTTTAGACGAATGAAACAGAAAAATTCCCCCCTTTCTTATAACTTTGCCTGCATATGATTTTTTTTTCTTCTTAATACAGTAGATTCAATGGAAAGCCAACAAAATGTATGTGTGAGTTGTGTAGCATTATGGTGAGTCACCTCTTGCTGCAGCAGCCTCAGCTGAGAATCAGCTTCACCAGCACCACCAGGAGTCAACAGCAGGTCAGTCAGAGAGTCCAGACAGAAGAGGACTCTCCGAACTGCCTCATATAGCTCCTTCTTCTCACCTGCAGACCCGCCTGTAGCCCTCACCTGGGAAATATTAAAGAAGATCATCACTATCACTCAGAATCACTTTCTATCACAATCACACACACAAAGGCGAGTTGATATATTGGAGTAATTCAGTCATACATGCTCAAACCAGAAACTAATTCTGAGAAAGATCAATGACACAGAAACCTTCAAGCTGCAAACTGATCGGATATTGCTTTCTTTGGTTTGTTATATATGATACCCCCAAGGATCTAGACCGGCACTGAGAGCTTTCTTAGTGGAAGCTCCTAAGTGTCATTTCCAGCTTTAAATCCAAGTTAAAAGCATATTTTTACTCAGTGGCTATTTTGGTTCAGATGTAATCCTAATTTTTACGTGACTGTACAGTACTAATAGCTACCCTTGTAATTCCTCATACAATGGTTTGGGTTATTTTTGTTGAATTGTTTCATTTATTTTATGACTTATTTGTTACTAATGTGTAAGCAGATGTAACCTCTGATTCTACTACACATACTATTTGTCTTAGCATGTTGATGGATTCATGTGTTCGCTGTAGAACTGCAGAAGCAGATCCAGTTGACATCGACTCCTTTTCTGGAACCTAAACAAAAACACAAAATTGCACTCATTAGTTTAACAGTAGGTGGAGACAAAGAGAACGACTGCGTGGAGGTTACAATTAGGCAGGGCGCACAGAGTTTAAACGACTACTTCATCTGTTCATATTCAACTGACAGATGCTGCTTTTAGCACTTTCTCGCACGCACACATAAAAATTCAAACTAATAATATCATACTTTTTTTAAAGATTGCAGCTACTGGTGCTTTTTATTATGTAGAACTGGCAACACAATAGATATGAAAGTAGAAAGACTGTCAGCACATTCAAAGGGTTGAGTCAACTGTTGCCCTGGTAACAGATGCGATCGGTGACTTGGTATCCTAGCATCCACATCATACAAATAATTTGCCTCTATCATTGACAAGCTATTTCATCCCTCGTCTACATCCTCCCAAAACTCAGCCTTTTTGAAAAAATCTAAATCAGCCCCTGCAATTAAGACAAACACCTCATTACTCTTCTGTATTTTCCCACCTTTTCACCGTTTCCTCCATCTCCTGCACTCATCAGGCTTTGATGCTCCTCTTTAGCTTTTGTCAAAGTGATCAGTTTTTTAGAGATCTGGGAGTGAAGTCGACTCCACCTTTGGGACTCCCTGTCGTCCTCTTTGCTTTCAGCCAAGCTAAGAAGCAAACAAATGTGCATGATTCTGGTATTTTATGTACACAAGAGTAGCAAAACTCATAATTTAGTATGACCAGGACTTCTTCTTTTCCCTTTTATCAGCTTTTTACCTGATGGGCACCTCAGAAAACGTCTGTGGTTGCTGGGATTCTTCCATCAATCTACTGCTACTGACACTGACTTCACTTGGCGCTTTCAGTCCAGTTAAAGCCTCCTGTTCATACAAGTCATTACCAGGAAAAAATTGACAAAATAAGTGAAGTGCAATTTTCACATGTGACACAATTCATGTTGAGGGTTTGAGTCAGAGTCAATTTAACTTTAAACATTTACTCAATCAAGCTTTGTCCTTCTATTAATTTCACTGTTTGATGTCACTGACTGGTAAATATTAAATTTTTTATTCTTTTTTAAAGTGAATATTTATAGTCAAAGTTGGTCATTTTGAATGGCATCTCTTTCATTCTCAGACACTTACCAGATCTGAATGTGGAGCTGTGGACACAGACCGATCTTCAACCTCCTCCTCTATGAACTCATCTGATGCTCTTTTGGAAGTAAACGGAGTTATAGGTCTTGAAGGAATCAGTCTTGTGTCTTCCACTGCAGCAGCTGCCTGAGGGGACTTTGCAGAAGGGTCAGTGTGCAAAGTTTCATGTTTTGACGAGTCATGGTTCTGGTTTGTAGCAGCAGTGTTAAACTGGTCTTCAGCTGCTGGGATGGCTGCAGTGTTTAGTGACTCAGTGGTCACAGTTTTAGGACTGAATACGTTGCCAGTAGAATCCAGTGTTATTAATCCACTTTCAACATTTTTAGATCCAAAGCTGGTATCAAAGCCAGGCTCCGTAGTGAAGAGTCTGGTTTCAGAACCTTTTGAATACGTCTCCACTTCAGAGGAAATCTGATGAGGCGAACTCTGCAGTTCCTAAAAGATACATGGAAGATTTTACTGATAAGAACTGGACCTCATAATATTTAATGCAATAATAACAGCAATGGCCTCTTTAAATTATTTCTATCTTGCATTTTGTAAATTACAATGCTAACTTTGAACATGTAGAAATCAGCACATTGATACCAAAAAGACTACACTATTGAAGTCTAGCTTTCTATAAGAAATGCAGCAAATGCTTTTAAACAAATACATCTACAAAATGAAATGGTATTTACCTCAACATCTGACATCGGCCTAATTTCAGCCATATCCTCGCTTTGCACATCTGACAGGTTGAGTGTCTCCTCCAGGTCCTAACACATTGGTTGCACAAATATTCAAATGCAAACTCAATCCATGCACGCATGCATATATAAGTGCCAATCTCTTTCTAGGTGTGCAAATGAAAGGAAAGGTTTCAGAGGAGCAGCATATTTCAAGCAGCTGCTTGTGACAGGGCCAGAGTAGATTTATCAGGAAACGCAATGACCTGCCTCACACAGCTTTATATCAGCATGCAAACGCCGGCTCGCTCCTTCCACACCACAGGAGAAAGAAGCAGTATTAAAGCTGAAAATAAGTGAATCAAAATATAAATAAACATGGAAAAATCCAAGTAAAAGTAGCCCAAGAAATATCGAGTTTCAGTCCAAAATGCCTAGAATTAATATGTGCTAAATGTTGTGGTTTTGAGGTTGTAAATTCTGCCAATAACGTGTAGGTTTGACTGATAGCACTTTTTACAGCATTGAATGTTACATTTTGGAATGAAACCCAGAAGACAGAGGCACCCAGACACATGCTCCCCTGACGTGATGTAATCATTTCTCAGATTTACCTCTGGAATACTGCATGTTAGTGTGTCAGAGGATGACGAGCAACAACTCTCGTCCTCCTCATCCTCCTCTTCCTCTGAATTAGACACCTCAAAAGCCTCCTGCTTTTAGTGATAGGGTGAATATATGATCAAAACTGTGATTAAAATGGGACGACAAATTGTCTTTCTGATGACTCTTTTCATTTTTCATTTCAAGAAATGTTTCCTTAATTCAGTCTTTAAGCAACATCATTAAGAAAGTGTTTGTTTTTGGGATGCGTACCACCAGGACTCCATTAGTATCATCATCATCTTTACATTTCCAATGGAACTTGACAAAACGATTGCATGTACTTTTCATGCAGTTATTTCTCTACTTAAAACTACATGTCTGACAAGAAAATGCTTGACTAATAAGCTCTACTGGTGGAATGCATGTTAGTATAGTAAATATTGATTTGCTTACAAGGATTGTTCATTTTTTGGGGAAGATTACTTTCAGAATTTCAATGTGATTCCACAGGCGTTCAAAGATTGTGCTAATCGAGTCAAACTTGATCCAAACAGTTGTTAAAATTTACCATAAACTGCATGCAAAACATACCCTACACTGCTATCAATCACTGGGTATGCACAGCAGGACAAGAGAAAAATTCCCCAAAAAACAAAGATTGTAGGATTTCCTTGAGCCTGCCCAATTTACTTTAATTATATTTACTATCGATTGATATTTGTTGGACAGGACTTTAACAGGCAGGCTCAACTAATCCCACATAACAGATTAAATAAATTAAACAGGACGACTGTCACTATACTTGTGTGAACAATTCACCATCTTTACTGAATGTTCCTGCCTTAAAGTACAGTTTTAAAATTCAGCAACCAATAGAACTCCTGCACTGTGATAATATAAAAAGCGATATACTGCTGCACTACATTATGATTGTGATTATTGTTACCTGGACTAAGCGTCTATGTGGAGATCGGCCCAGCATCGCCTGCATCACTTCGGCAGTTGTGGTTAAGCCGAGATCCTTCCCCTCTCTAACCTTGATCTATGTTAGAAAAAAGAAAATGATAAGTGACAAAAGGGGATCAAAAACATATTGAAGGTTGTGTTGACAGGATGAGAAGATCAGCACACTGGTACCAATAACAAAGATACAGATTTTAGCTTTAGTTCTTTCTTGCTGACAAGAAGTATTCCAGATAAAGCCTTGATTCACAATTCAATGTGAAGTCAGTCAAATAAGGGTTGTCATCGTCAGCCCTCACCCCTTTTGTTTAGCCCCACTTCTCTTCTACAGTAACAGAAGACAACTGTTATTTTTCCTTGTCTCATGGGATTCAGATTTTGTGCTGTACCTCCAGCAGTGATGCTTGTTGCTGGGTGAGTTGTTCCAGCTCGTCGAGCGGCTGCAGGAGTAGTCTGGCTCTGGAGAAGACCTGCAAACCTTCCTCTGCTCCTTGTGGGATGTGAAGCTCTGCTTTGCATCTCTCTATCTCCTTCAGTGTCCTCCGCATTGACCGCACATTGGCCAGGATCACCTTACAGATGTAAATTGTTACCTTTATAGCTTGGAGTACAAAATAAATGTCAAGCATTTATATGTGCTCCATTGCCACATAAATAAAAAAGGGTTATTTGTCCCATATATAAACCCTTTTTATTCAGAATTGCTTCATATTTTAGCAAAATAGCATTGTTTGTATATGTTTAAGTTTTTTGTTATTCAGAGTACCTGTAAAAATGATAAAACAGGACTTGCAACTGCTCTGCTTTACCTCACAGCTGTGAAGATGTTCCTTTGGAGTAATGTTGGAGCTGTCTATAGAGGATAAAATTGTTCTGATTTTCGCGATATTCTTCTCTATAGTTTTCAGCTCAGCTTCCATCTCCTCCACCATCTGAAACAGAGATTGCCAGCAACGTTTTCAGGGGGTTGGCATGCATCTTTAGAATGTAAAGTGTTTTGAAAGCTGTAAACTGTTGATCTTGTATTCTTTCAGTTTGTGTAAAAATGTATGTACAGGTGGCTCCTCTTGTTATTTAGCTGTTCAACTCTGAATTTCTTTCCCATTATTTGTATCACTAATATTGACAAAAAAAATCTAGCAGTTTTACCCCACTGCCATTTGGGGTCACTAACAACCTGACAACTGAAATGTGTGGAATTCCTCTTTTTAACATTCTTACTGCAACAGCCTGCAGCAGCTGCTCCAGGGGCTCAAGGACATTGCATTGCATTTTCTGGACTTGTTGGTCAGTCTGGTTCAGTCTCTTCTCCTGGGTACGCATGTCACACACAGTGGAAATCTCAGCCAGCACTGGCCTGAAGTCCTGAAGCGTGTGACTGATCCTTTCTGAGTCTTCCAGCACCAACTGTGGTTCAGAAATTTAAATAAAATGAATATTTCACATAAAGTATTGGTTAAGGTTGTGGATGCTATGCAGCGGGAAATAGTAATGAGGCAGGATAGCAAAAAAGATAGTAAAAATAGGTGTTAAATAATGAATTAAATTAAGGAATTAAATGTTAAATAATATGAATTAAGCAAAATGCAACAAAAAGAACATATATACAGCCCAGCACAAACCAGGCGCATATGTAGGATTAAATACAAAAAAAACTTGAGAATATCAGCACATGAAATGAGTTAATATGGGTCACAGAAGTCAATGACAGATATTTGTGTATTTCAGTCACTGACCTGCAGAGACTTTGCATGATTCTGGAGACTTCTGGCTGTTGTGAAAGAACAGGGAGTACTGAGCCACGACTGGGCCTCTTCTAACCAGTGGGTGGCACTGCTGAGGATGTCCTCAAACTCCTGAAGACAGGCGGGGATCTAACACAAAGAAGGAATATAGAAGATATAAGGGCCGGAGGGCTATGTTGCCTTCAATCAAGCAGTGTGATGAGCCCAAAAATATATGCAGCATGTATATGTATACAAGTGTGTAGTAAGTCAGACCTTGCTGAGGAAGGCAGTGCGGTGCTCAGCCATCTGCGCTGCGTTTTGGTAAAGCTGCAGCGGTTGTGTGAGTTGGTCGATGAGAAGCTGGGCTTGATCTGGATGCTCCTCTGCAAGATCGTGCACCTCGTTCTCCAAGACCATCAAGCTGCTGTGCCATGTATCCAGCTCATCCCACACATGCTGGAAAACAAATAGTGGAAGTATGTTACAGCAATAACGGGGATTTTCAGAAGCTTATAGGAAAAAAGTGTGTCGTTCAGCTAGTTTAAATCTGCCATTGTGTGTTTAGTTGTCCGACTTTTTTTGCAAGCTTGTAGTTTCAGTTAGCCACTCAATTCTGACTTTCATACCTCTCCTGATGACTGATAAACTGTCTTGTTACCTCTGTAACATTAATATATGGATGTCATAACACTTCCTGAGGTGTTCATCTTCAGTGCCAACAAAAGGCTGAGCAACCTCAGTGTTCATTTACAAAAGCTTGCTAAGAACAAAAGGCATGAAGCAAACAACCTTGGTGTCATCTTTCACTGTGACCTATTCTTTGAATCACAGGTGAAAAACCTCACTAAAAATGCATTTTAGAGCTATTGCCTGCGTGCAACCTTTTCTGTTGTGTGCAACCTTTTCTGTTGTGTATGCTCTTATTTCTAGCAGATTTCACTATTTTAATACTCTATCCTCAGATCTTCTAAAGAAATCTGTAAACAAACTAAAGATGATCCAAAATCTAGCAACATCTTGGAACCAAAACTAAGTGTTGAAACATGTTACTCCAGCTTTAAATGTTCCTAGCTTTGTGTTCATTTTATAATCCATTTTAAGATGTTGCTTTTAGCTTTTAAATTGCTTAATGTGTCAGCTCCTGAACCAATCTATTATTGATACATCGCTTAATCCTCACTAGGGTCGTGGGGAAAAGGAGCCGACTCAGGGTGAAGGCAGGGGACACGTTAAGACAGGTGGGAGGAAGCCAGAGAACCCGGTGAGAATCCACGCTGCACAGGGAGAACATGCAAACTCCACACAGGCATCCTAACCAGGACACGAATCGGGGATCTTCTCGCTGTGAGGCGACAGCACTAACCACCGATCACCATGCAGCCCTCAGTTCCTAATTATTTATCTAATTTGCTAGTTTTGTGTGCCCCTACTAAATCCCTAAAATCCTCTAACTCTGGTCTCTTAAGCGCTCCCCAGAGTAGCACTAAGAAACATGGGAATGCTGTGTTCTGTCATCTGCTCAGCAACTGATTCAATAGACAGATTCATAGAAATATTTTTAGGCTGGTAGTTATGTATTACTGTTATTATGAGTTTTTGTGTTTTATTGTTTTATCACATTACTATTTTTTTCATTTCATTTTAATCACTTTCTTTTTTTTAAATAAAGGGCTTTGTCCAATACATCCATCCATCCACTATAT